TGGATAGAGTGGAGAGGAAAAACTGTGTACAGAGTCATAAATGATGAGTAAAGTTGATGTGGACCACCATTAAAGAACACGCACAGACATAAATGAAACTCAACTCTGATTCAGGAGGAATGTTCCCATCTTTAGAGGAATGAGTAACTTATCTAATGGTGATTTAAGGGTAGGGGAGGAGGGACAAGGTTTAAGAGGACACTCTGCCTATATTCATACGTCTTAAAATACCAGTTGCTGTGTCCAAAACCTCACTCAGGTGATCAGGAATAAGCTGTGGTACAGCTTTAAGAGACCAGAAATGGAGTTGTGCAACCCATACACTGAGGTAACCATAACATTCTTCAATGTATGGCCCAAGCACACACGTGATTTTCCACTTCCACATTATTTTAATTGTCTGACTTGCAGAACACCACATACTGTAAGTTAGACCATTGAACTTGGGAGGAGAGCGACAGCTGAAAACCAGAGTGGCCAACACCATGCTGAGTGTGGGTTCTGCATAAACAACTCCTGAGTTTCAGGGTAATGTGCCTTTCCAGATCCCATGCAGCCATGCTGAGACAGGGGCTCCTGAGGATGTATACACAGAGCCCCAGCCATCTGCTCTGCAAGGTGTTGAAAGTCATCTCTGAAAGAAGCATCCCCTTCCCAAATTTCCTATGGACCTCAGTGGAGTTAAGTAACAATATGGAAAGTCAACATTCTGCCAAAGTCTGTGAACCAAAGCAAATGAAGGTTTAAAAAAGCCCTAGTTCCTTAGAAAGTACTGCTGTAATTCCAGCAAGCCCAGCCAACTCCTAACAGCAGTGATGGATACTGCCTGCGGTGATACTGAGAAACCCAGCAGCTAGATCTGATCCAAAACAAGAAATCAAAGACATCCCCTTTGCTGAGTTCAGGAGGGTTTGGATCAGGCCTCTGATCTCTGAAACCATTTAATATGTTTCACAGGCTTCTTAAAAGTGGTAACATACATAGCTCCACAAACATGGAAGCGTGTTCTGGTTTGGATGGAGAACCTGAAACTCGGGATGCCATGTAGGACTATGGGCCTTGGCTGAGCAGCTCCAGCCATAGGAGCTATGTGGTATCCTCTATCGGGCTAAAGAGTAAATCATATTTAGACATATTAGGGGTAGGCTTCCGCTGTGTCTATATTCACAAATGAGTTCTAGAAAGCTGCTCAGAAAAGCAAATAGTGATTCTTGACCCTGATAATGATTGATAAATAAACTTCTTGAAGCCAGCATTTGATTGCCTGGATTGCGTGTGGCAATGTCACTGAAGTTTCTGGTGCTTCTCCTATAAAGAAAGAAGCACTGATATATTGTTTGACTTGATCCTTAGCTAATGCTTATCTCAACCTCTTTGATTTGGGAATCCAAAGCTGAGACAGCAAGTTGTTCTGTAGCATTTCCTAAAACATTAGGTCATAGTGGTTGTGATTCATTTTATTTACATGTTTGGATTTTTTTCCCTGTCTCCCATTTCCTCGAAGAACTTGTGCAAAGTGCTATTTTCACTGCATTAGCTTGGAAAATGCAAAGGCTTTGGTGATTTAATTGCCATTTGGGATATTTTATTAGGTGGGATGAGGCAGCTTCTGAGTATTACAGTGGAATTCCTGCTGAGGTCAGGAGCTGAAAGCTGAGATCAGTAGAAACTTGCAAGTGCTGCTGTCTGCCCTGCATAGCCCTTAGAAGTGAGTAACTGGTGTCAGGCTACATCTTAGGGAACCTTCTACTAGGACTGGAGAAAAAAATCTAATGAAAAAATCAGAGATCCTCAGGCTTCCTACTCACATCTATCTCTTCTCATCTGTTGAACAGAGCTTACTCATGCTGTTAACTTGGGATTCTGTTTTATTCTGTTCCTCACATGAAATACAATAGCAAGGCATCTGATCCAAACTCCACTGACACCAGCACAAGGCTTTCCATTGTGAAAGCTGCAGCCTGTTGAATTGGCAGGATTAAAACTCGCACAGGCAATACAAGGCGTTCTCTGCTCTTCGCATAACCCTTTGCTTAAAACCACATAACCTTTTCTTCTCTCAGTTGTTTTGCTACTCACAAAGAGCTGCAGGACCAGGGAACACTGAAGTACATACGACTGCACGAGGTAACTGTAGGGCCACGAGCCCTGGACCTGTATCTCTCTTATTCTACAGAGGTACCTGAATAAAGAGCACAACTGGAGAGACAGTGGCTCTGTGTTCTCATGTCTCAGTGCCCTTCCCTGGTTTACAATGTTCTCCAGAAAACAGGAAAAAAAGGAGTACGCTCTCTGCCTCAGGAAGTGGTGTAGCACAAGGTGACGTCAAGGAAACGGGCCCTGAGGCTGGAAGAGCCCTTTTAGTATATCAGCTCCTGCCTGCCCCAAAATCCTATGTTATTAATAACCTGTTGTGTTTTGAGAAGAGATATAACAGCACTGAGTCGTGGCAAATTACAGAGCTGAGGGTGTTGGCTCTGTTACATGAAAGTGGTCAACATTATCTAATCTGATTCCATCATTGTTCATGACCTGCCACTTACCTATTGTTGAATACATTATGATATTACATCATGTCTATTAAGAGCTGCAACAAACTGTTCTACAGCTCCTTGCCAACAAGATCTGGTGGAAAAGTTCCTCGAAGAATTTCTCTGTGCCTCTGTAGGCTGAATGTAATCCATAAGGTTCAGTGTGTGGAGAAATCATACTGCACACATCTGCAGAGCCATTGACATTAACCTTCACTGTGCATCAGCGCAGACATCAGCGTGTGAGGAGAGGAAGGAGGAGGAAATGAGAATTAGTGCTAACTCTTGCGTTCAATTGCTTCACACCTAACTTGCATTAAAGCCCAGGGGGCTCTGTCTGCTGAAGTAAGGAATGGGTTTGCTACTGATTTCCAAAGGAAGAAGACTGGCTATAAATTAGATCCTCTCTGCTGTTCCATGTCCTCATGTCAGGTAGATTTTCAGATCTAGGATGTGTATTGGCTATACCACTGAGGCTACAGGGGCTTGAGCAGGATCATAGACTCTTTCAGCTCAATACCAGAAGGCAAATGGCTCAAAGCTGGTGGGAAGAGAACCAGAAGGGGGATTTTGAGGCTGGAAGAGATGACAGTGGATCCAGCTACCCCATTGCAGGTGTGGGCTGTGCTGAGTCACCTTTGAGCTCCAGGGATCCCAGTTCTGCTCTAAGGCAGGCTGAGATGGGCATTGTGCTGCCGAGTGCATGCAGTGTCCAGCCACCTCGGTACAGGAGCTGCTGAGAGCTGAGGGTTAAAAAGAGGAAAAGAGTCCTGAGAGTCGACAGTTTTAGGTTTCACCCCTGCCAAATTGTCTGAGACAAAGAATGGCAGTGAGGCCCGAAATCAGGAGTTTCAAGTTGCCAGCACTTTCCATTTCTTATGGTATTTCAGTGTTTCCACTGCTTGTTCCTGGCTAAAGCCAGGCAGTGCATACAGTGTGAATAAATTACAAGAGACATTTTCACCTTTCTACAGATTTGGGGAGTTGCTCGGAGTGGTAAAGCAGGGGGCTGGTTCGCTTTTAACCTGTCCTGTGGCTCTGAAACAGGCAACAGCCTTCGTCTGGGAGCGCCTTCCAGAGTCTGTCCTCTCAAACTTAAAGGGTCAAACTTCTTTCCTTTCTTTCCTTGTTTGAAGAAGATCTGGTTTCACTTAGATGAATTAAATGTCAATATATCTGTTCCTGTGAGTTGTTCCAGTGTAGACTACAGCACTATTGCATGACTTGAAAATCTGTGCAGAGGTCTGCTGCTCTGTGCTATTTATGTCTATCTTTTAAAATGTGTAATGATCAAACACTCCTATATTGATACTTGAGGTCTTGTCTCTGTACAGAGGAATTAAATAAGAAGTCTATGAAATATCCTTTTCCTCCAGCTTTGAACTTAGTCCATTCAAAGTTGTCTTTTAACTCTGTATTTGCAATCTGCTGCTGTGGTAAGACCTAGATACACAAAAGGATGGAGAAGGTTTTTACTTGTTAGGTGATGCTTGCTGAGCTCTGTGTCATAGGAACCCATCTCCTATACCCTTGCCTCCTAGAGGTCTGGCTCTGGGTTCAGTTTGCATTCCCCTTTCCCATGTAGAGATGCCCTTTATTCATTTATGGGGATCTGAGCTGAGATGGGGAACATTAAATACAAACCCCCCCCACTTGTAACAAAGTGCTTATCAGGCTCTCAGGCATGACCTGTTAGAGATGAAGAATATCAGGCCCTTTCTGAAGCTGTGAACATCATTGTGCTCTTTGTTTTGCCAGAGCAGACAAGTGAAAATGTTCACACCATAAAGATAAGTCTATCTTGTGAGGAAAATCAGACTCACAAGCCAAGCAGGCAGTAGATTTACAAGCAGAAGCCCTGAAGCATACCCTATCAAACACCTCCTTGGGCAGTCGTGTTGGTGCCATGGTATGAGATATACCAGCAATGAATCATGATGTGTGCCAGCCCTGCTCTGGGGATTAGGGATTACATCCTGGAAGCAGAAAAAGACTGGCTGGAAGTATTAGAAGTTAGGTCCCTTTGCAAAGAGTGAAAGGAGGAAGGAAAGAAAGAAGGAAGGAAGAGTCTCACTGCTGTCTTACAATAGATTTATTTAGGTTTTGTGGGTGGTGGTGTGTTGGCTTTTTTTTTTTTTAAAGGAACAAGTATTTGAGTGAATTCCAAAGCAGTTCAAAAGGTTTCAACTTGTCACATTTCTGGTCTCTGAGCTGAAAGTCTTCCAGGGTTACACAACAATGACTAAAACTGGAAACCTTTCAGACCATTTCCAAAGCGAAGCAGGAAACTGAGGTGATTGCTAAACTGACGCTAGAAAGAGAGATCCACTGCCATGTGTGCAGGCTTAGAGCGAGAGTACCCAGCTTCACTTGGAGGTTTGGAGTTGTTTTCTTTTTGATTTCATCTCAGAACAGAATTATTCTGGAACCGAGATCTTCACATTGTTTTGCTTAATGTTTTACAAACAGGCTGTTGACTGAAGTTGTCACTGAACAAAAATTCACCCCTGCTTGTTTACATAATGGGAAAATACAGTCATAAAATGAGTGTAGCAACAACTTGGTAGGTATTAAGGTGCAATATGGGGATTATCCTCATAAAACACTGAGCTCTAAACTCAAACTATCAAGATTAACTTGACAGTTGCATTTAGGAAGTCTTTAAAAGCTAAACTTGATGCTTAAGGCTTTTAAGTTGCTGTTGTTCTGAGCAAGTTGATGAAAATCAAGGGTTCCAGGTCTGGAACTCTTCTGGAACAGGTTGTTCATCTGGAACAACAAGATGAAAATGACAAATACAATAAAAGCCTTTCTTTTGCTAGTGTTGGGTTTGTGGTAGCTCTTCACTGGGTGTAAGTAGGTGTTAGGTTTGCTCCTCTTTCTGCCACTGCACTGCTTTATGACCTTTGAAATACAGGAATTTAATTACTTTTCTTCCATATCTAATTGGGGTGAAGATTTCAAAGGTACCTGTTTGGGGGGTAACTGTGCAGACCCCATGAACACAGATCTCTAGAACATCTCCCTGAGCATGTTTCAGTATCCAGCACAGTGAAATCCTAGCCTTGACTTCGATAATTAGAATATGTGCTGATTTTGTGAACTCTGATATATATGTGCTTTAGAAAAACATCTGAACCCTCTCTGCCATTTAATCAAACGAAGTCTTTGAGATTTGTCTTCCTTCTATCCTGCCTAGCTTCACTGCTCCACTTCTATCTCTAACCAGTTCTTATTTGGGAAATGAAATACATTTATCTGTTTATAAGAATGATTAGCGAAAGCACTGCAAACTTCAGCATGCTTCCTCCTCTGAACAACAGAACAGTGTGCGAGAGGAGGCACATGATGTGTACAAACATGCCCAGAAAGAAAGTGAAAAAAAAGCACCTGGAAAGTAAAAGCGAGACACAAAAGGGCAAGGGTTTGTGTGTTAGTGTTAGAGGAAGGTGAAAACGCTTCCTGGCAACATCTGAGAATCATTTGCAGCAACCGATCCATGAGCTTTAGTGAGTAGAGAATGTTTTTAAATCCTCCCCCACCCCCTTTGTTAATCTTTACCAGGTAGTAAGACCTTTAATGTAATTCGTATGGCGTTTGGAGGGATGGGTGAAATGTTTCCATTTGAAAATGAAGAGGTTTGCAGTGGCTCTCAGTTTTAAGTTCACAAGTCTGGTTGTAAGTCTGTGGTCTTCTCCCCTTTAAAATTTGGTAATAATAATAGTATAATAGTAATAATAATAACAGTAGTAGTCTTCAGGCTGTTCTGCAAAAGTCAGCGTGTCTCAGTAGCAAGAGTGATGAACTTCATGGCCTCAGTACCTCTTGCTTGGGATAGGAAAATCCTATTCCTGTTTAAAAGCGTCCCCATGAATGAAGGACAGCTCGTAACACAGATTTACATAATTCAGAAACACTGGAAGATGGGGTTTTTAGACTTAAATGTTCTGAGCAACATCAGACACTGTAAAAGAGTTATTAATTATGATGTATGAGTATTATTGTACTTGAGAGACTTTCAGAGAGAGCCTGGAAAGGTTCAGAGCTGGCTTACTTACCTTTAAGCACACCCAAAATACCAGGCAGCCTTTTTAGGTGGTTTTGAGTGGCTGAGGAGACTATTTCCTAAGACTTTAAAGTACATTTGAGATTTTAGGTCATCTGGGGCACGTCTCCACTGTGCAATGCCAAATGACTCTGAGCAATCCAATTTTCAACATGATGGAGAACGATTAACTCAGATCCTGAGAGCAGTATATGGCTGTTAGAGCAATATATGTCTGTTAGTGTTGATCTTCATTAATTCTTTTTTACTCCATCCAGCTGCAGGGCTAGCTTATTTGCTCCTGGTTTAGGAAGTTCTGCATCACATCCCTTCCTTATTACGGACATTCTGATTGTTCTACAAGATCCAATTAGCATCTTACTACATGGCTTCATTTATACCAGTCCAAAACTCATCATGAGCACCTATGTATTACTACAACCTGTACTTAGGAGTGACCCTAAGTAGAGTCAGAGTTCCTAATGCAAGATGCCTCACAATGAAAGTCGTCTCCTACGTGTGACAGACTGCTGTAAAGTCAGGGTGGACTTTGCCACATGGCTGCGTGTGTGGCAGCCCATGATTCTTCCCAGCACCAACAAAACCTAAAGATGGTGCCAGAAAAACACCATTTTTGAAACACGATGATTTGCTGATGGCAACAGCAGAGAGTGGAAGCAGCTCAGTAGTCCTTGATTCATGAACTGTTTAGTCCCTTTTAGAGTCCCAGGACACTTGTGAGTATTTTCAAGGAACTCTAGTTTGAACCAGTCAATAAGAAAACCAGTCTAAGCCCAAGTATGGTTTTTATTTAAACTTATATTGACTCCTGATTACAATTTGCTTCATTTTCACACCTCACATTATGAGGTTCTTAAAAAAAATAACTCAATAGTTTCCAGTTTTTGTTTGTTGTGAAATATGACTTATAAAATATTAGGTCAGGAGTCTTCAGTAGACTAAGGCTACACTGTTTGTTTAAAGCTATGAGTGAAGCAAGTCATACGAATGTTTCCAAAGAGTCTCTTCCAAAAAGTATTTTTGGAAACATTAATGTTGTGTTTTTTAATGAAGGCCACATTCTGAGGCTACACCACCATATGTCACATTCATTTCTGCCCTGGAAAAAAAGAGAAAAGAAAACCAAAAAAAAGAAAAGAAAAAAGAAATGGAAACTATGTTTGGCTTTTAAGTGTTTTTGGAATAGTGTTCATGCATGCTTGTCATTGTTCCTTGGATGAGAGAAGAGTTCTCGGTCTGTTAATCTAGTCCATCCAATATATATTACACTCTATGGGCCTGACTCTCCTCTGCCTTGAAGTGTGTGCAGTCATTTCGACTCAGGCAAAGTGAATGAAGAGCTGAGGAAAAAGACTACCACTAGGAAAGTTTTTTTTCTTTCTAAATTCATTTTCCATGAATCTGTTGGCTTCGTTGTAAACCTACATCTGAACTTTTGTCAGCTGAACCCAGCTAAAAAACGGGAAAAGTACTTGTCATTTTTCCATTGCAGACTTACAGTTCTTGGAAGAATAATGACAGTTTTACCTCAGGAAAAAGAAAAAAAGAAGGACTTTAGCTTATTTTCTTCAGAGGTGTCAGTTAGAAGCATGGGGTTTGCAAAGATGTTGGGTTGTCCTGGCTGCGTCCCCTATCACTTCTGACTTGTCGGTGTTCTGTGTGTTAGCGTTTGGGATATGGTGGAATGAGCTGAAGACCTGCAGGAAAAGGCATTTGCCTTTTTCAGTGCCGTATCCTAGAAGTAATTCATACGCATCCTGTAACTGATTATTTCAGCTGAGTCTTTCCTTTTTTATTGGATTCCTGTTGATGAGGTCTCAGTTTCTAACATAAGTTCCTGTTATTAGTCACTAAACCTATAGCCTAGCACTTCGTACTGCTAAAGTTCATCTGGTTGCAATCTGCAAAGACATCCCTTCTTTCTCTGCTCTGACAGAGGAATCTCCTCATTCACATCACTTCCTAAATTTGTGTCATCCACAGATTTTATTAACATGCTGCATGTTTGTTTCAAACCCATGAATAAAAATGTAAATGCTTTTAGGCAGCTGAATAGTTTTTGTTTGTTTGCTTTAAGGAACAATTTGAGAGGATTTGCAGGAACTCAGAGGTGTTTCTTTCTCATTTCAAATGTAAATACTTTGCTACAAATGGAACAAATATGTCTTTGTAGCACTGGCCCAGGAAAGCTCAATTCCACGACCAGCTTTTTCTGGACAATATCGAAACACAACTAATGAGGAATGATGGAGTGTTTCATACATTTTCTGGTTGAAAAACATTAGCACTGGATGTGCTAGGCATGCTACTGAAGTCTTATGTCTCAATGAGGGTGTTCTACAGGGTATTTCTTCTAATGGAGAAAAACAACCAAACATGAAACAAAGAAATCATTAATGACCTCAACTATTTCTATGAGAACCTTAACATGAGCGGACAGTGTGCGCTCGCAGCCCAGAAAGCCAACCATATCCTGGGCTGCACCAAAAGGAGCATGACCAGCAGGTCAAAGGAGGTGGTCCTGCCCCTCTACTCTGCTCTCGTGAGAGCTCACTTGGAGTATTGTGTGCAGTTTTGGTGTCCTCAACATAAAAAGGACATGGAGCTGTTGGAACAAGTCCAGAGGAGTGCCAAGAGGATGATCAGGGGACTGGAGCACCTCCTGTATGGAGCCAGGCTGAGAAAGTTGGGGCTGTTAGGCCTGGAGAAGAGAAGGCTGCGTGGAGACCCCATAGCAGCCTTCCAGTATCTGAAGGGGGTCTACAAGGATGCTGGGGAGGGACTCTTCATTAGGAACTGTAGTGATAGGACAAGGGGTAACGGGTTAAAACTTAAACAGGGGAAGTTTAGATTGGATATAAAGAGGAAGTTCTTTACTGTAAGGGTGGTGAGGCACAGGAATGGGCTGCCCAGGGAAGTTGTGAATGCTCCATCCCTGGCTGTGTTCAAGGCCAGGTTGGAGAGAGCCTTGGGGGACATGGTTTAGTGTGAGGTGTCCCTGCCCATGGCAAGGGGGTTGGAACTGGATGATCTTAAGGTCCTTTCCAACCATAACTATTCTATCATTCTATGATTTGGCTAACTTTAAGAGTTTTCATGGCATTCCTGTGGCTGTTCATGAGAACCCATCCAAATTTGAATGTTCACCAGAATGTCAAAAGAGATGCTCGCAGTGAGTTCACCACAAAGGGTTTTGATTTCTGTTTTCGTCTCCATACTAGATGTTAGGTTTGATAGGGACATTTCTAGCTAGTTGAGTTTCTAACTGCCTCATATTTCCAGCCTTATGTTTTTGAGCTGAGTTGCGTAATGAATGTCAGAGCCTCCAGAAAATTGCTTGTGATGGCCACAGAGTGAATGTTTATTCAGATTTGGTGTTACACAGTTCTGGCATAGGGAATTCAAACAAAAATGAACTTTTTCTTCTATTTCATAGATTTCCAATGACCAAAGAAAACGAATAGCCCCTGGGACGGACAAGTCTGTTCTGCAAACTGATGCCACGAGGCAGAGATGAGAAAGATGACTGAGCAGCGTGGTTGCTATAGGCCTGTAAACACACAGGGAAATAAGATCAGTTACCAAGGCACTTGTCAAGAAAGCCCGGAAAAGGGGATGAAAAGATTGCAGAAGCGGTTTCTCCACAAGGATGGCAGCTGCAATGTGTACTTCAAACACATCTTTGGGGAATGGGAGAGCTACGTAGTGGACATATTTACCACACTGGTGGACATCAAGTGGCGCCATATGTTTGTGATATTCTCATTGTCGTATGTCCTTTCATGGTTGTTCTTTGGACTGGTCTTCTGGCTGATAGCAATCCAACACGGAGATTTATTCAATGATGAAGAAATAACTCCCTGTGTTGCAAATGTCCATAGCTTCACAGGAGCATTCCTGTTCTCCCTTGAAACCCAAACAACCATCGGGTACGGTTACCGCTGTGTTACAGAAGAGTGCTCCGTTGCAATCCTCATGGTCATCCTGCAGTCAGTATTAAGCTGCATTATTGACACCTTCATAATCGGAGCAGCCTTGGCTAAAATGGCCACAGCTCGAAAAAGAGCTCAAACCATTCGTTTCAGCTACTATGCTGTCGTTGGTCTGAGAGATGATAAGTTTTGCCTCATGTGGCGCATTGGTGATTTCCGGCCAAACCACATGGTTGAGGGCTCTGTACGAGCTCAGCTCCTGCGCTACAAGGAAGACAAGGAGGGGAGAATGACAATGGAATACAAGGACTTGAAGCTTCTAAATGACCAGATCATACTTGTTACACCAGTGACCGTCGTACATGAAATTGATAGTGAGAGCCCCTTGTATGGTCTAGATCGGAAAGCTCTGGCCAAAGACAACTTTGAAATCTTGGTCACATTTGTCTACACGGGTGATTCAACGGGAACTTCACATCAGTCAAGAAGCTCCTATGTCCCCAGAGAGATTCTTTGGGGCCATAGGTTTAATGATGTCTTACATGTCAAGAAAAAATACTACAAGGTGGATTGCTTACAGTTCGAAGAAACCACAGAGGTTTATGCTCCTCACTGCAGTGCCATGCAGCTGGATCGAAAAGAGCAAGAATGGAACCGAATTGAGAAGACACGGGAAAAAGAAGCAGAGACATCAGCACTGGAGATCAAGCCATTCAGTGCCAACCGAACATCATTTAGTGCAGTTGCCCTCATCACCAGCTGTGAAGATCCAGAAGACCCAGTGACAACCGTCAGTCAGCCTTCTGGAGAAGTTTCATATCAAAAAGCAACTGTGACCTTAAATAGGCTATCAATAGAGTCCCAAATCTAGCTTTTCACTGCAAGTAAAAGCGCTTCCAAGAAATTCTCCCATCATAGCTTTTAGAATGTAAACAGTGAACTCATCTGCACAAGTATTTCTATTACAAACCTCGCTGACAGCATGCCCACGTTGTAATACACTGCTGAGCTGCTAAAAGGAGCTTTGTGCTGGATAGCGTGGGTATCAGCAACAGATTAGCATTGGCACAAGAGAACAGCTTACATTTGGGTTGACTAGACAGCTACTGCACTTGAGCAAACTTACTATAAACTTTATTACCCTGCAGGGACCAATGTTGGATGTACCCAGAGGCAGATAATGATCTAGGCAGGGAACAGACACAATGGAGTGTGCCCTCTAGGTCAGGTCTTCAAAGCTGCCTCATTTATTTGGAATGCCAGTTCCCAATCTCTCCAGGAGGCTCTGGAACTCCCCACCATCACAACACTGCACCTCTGCAGCAGTTCAAACAAAGCCCTCATCCCAGAGTTACACTGATGAATCTATGGGGGTGTTCTTTGTAGGAGGGAGGGAACTGAACCCAGTATTACTGGGTAGCTTTGGAAACCTGCTTACACCCTGCCTAGTCCTGTGGGAGCCACAGCTGGATCCTGCGGAGCTTTTCCCATTTCCTATGGTGAGCCATTCCTACAAGTGCCTCTTCCTGGGCAGCCTGAGGTAGGTGGTATGTGAGCTGCCTTGGGGCTGCATGCACAGTTTGCTACCTGCCAAACTCACTTGCAGTGTTCAGAAAGCAAAACAAGTTGACACTGAAATCAGCAAAATCAGGTTGAGCCTCAGAGAGAAGGTGCTGGGTTTAGAGTGAGCTGTGCAATATTTTAAATCAAGTCTTTCATTTCAGAATGTCAGGCTTTGCTTTTCTTTTTTTACTATATGATGCTTCTTTAAAAGGACAATGATCAATCTGGAGGCCAAAGAGTGTGATTTTTGTCAGAAGGAAATACTTTCATTCCCCTGAAATAACTGTGTTAAAATGATCCTTCGCAGACAAATTTAACATATTCAGCTGTTATCTCAATAAGGCAAAAAGGAGAACGTTAATGTTTGGAAGGTGCCTGTGACATGGAAGTTCCACGCTCTGCACATCTCTGTGCTTACTCAGTAAGCAGTAACTCATCGTGCTTTTTTTCCCCTTGATGATTATGGTTCATTTGCATTGTATGTAATTATCATGCTAATGTAAAGGTAATTATCTCTGAATTTGTGGTTACCTAAACTGGGATTTAGCTCACCTGACCTCAGCCGTCAAGAAATCAAGTGTTTGCCTACTCATTGAGGCCTCTGTACTTACTGGAACTCTTGTTCTGTCTTCACAGGGGACTTTACCCCGTTTTACTTTGGCTTTTTAGGGAGCTGAAGGCAATAGGATGTGTTCATCCTTCTCCGTTTATTGTTGAAGGAGATGAGATGACTGTTGTGGCAATGCTGCCTAACTTTAGGCTGCTAAAATTAGGCCTGACGTGTCACTCACATCATTCTGACTAATTAAAAGGTTTTATGAGCTCATCACAGTTAAAGAAAAATAGCATGCTGAATCTTTCTCTGCCTGAAATTTACTTCCTGTAGTAGCAAGGCTGCATTATTTTCATGTATCTTGCGTTTTCTCTTTTGCTAGCACTTGATAGAAATGATGCCTTTAGGTGAAACGAAGCACATTAACAAGCCTGGGGGGGGCGGGGAGGTGGTAATTCCAGAACTCATTAGTTAGCCAATTTTATATGCTGAATCATCAGCACCATCCATCTATAACTACTGTAGAAAACATCTTGTATCCTGGATTTGAGCATTGGCAAGCATTGGGGAAATAGTCTAAAAAATGGCAAGGAATATAGGAAAATGTATAAGGGTCTCAGTACTCACATGGTGTTGGAAAAGACGCCATCCGGATTGTATAAAGTAGAATATAACCTTGAAGCCACTTGAAGGAATCCATCCACACTCCTCTATCCATGAAAGGTCTTGGCTGGGATACTTTATTTGATGTTGGGCACCGTGCTTTGGGAAAGACATGGGACAATTTGAAGACGATCCAGAGATCTAGAACAAATGTGAGTGAGGAAGTGGGGAAATAACTTCAGGTGTTTCAGTCCAAAAAGGGGTTAGGAAACAAAGAAACAGTTCTCAAACACAGAAATCGCAATTTAAAAGAGAGGGACAGTCTGTTACTGTATGTGGTGGGTAGGACAGGGCTTAAAATGAAGCCAAAGAAATTGAAGTGAACTGGGACCCTGTTGGAGAAGATGCCTTGTAGGAGTGATCCAGGATCAGCTCTTGCCTTGGATTTTCCAACCCAGTTTTTCTGTGATTGTGATTATCAAAAAAAGGGAATGTATAGCATGAAATCTGCTCAACTGCTCACTTTACAAGTATTTACACATGTGTGAGTATGTGCTTAGTTATAGAATCATAGAATCCTGGAATGGTTTGGGTTGGAAAGACCCTTAAAGCTCATCCAGATCCAATCCCTGCCACAGGCAGGGACCCCTTCCACTGGAGCAGCTTGCTCCAAGCCCCTGTGTCCAACCTGGCCTTGAGCACTGCCAGGGATGGGGCAGCCACAGCTTCTCTGGGCACCCTGTGCCAGCGCCTCAGCACCCTCACAGGGAAGAGCTTCTGCCTAAGAGCTCAGCTCAGTCTCCCCTCGGGCAGGTTCAAGCCATTCCCCTTGTCCTGTCCCTACAGGCCTTTGTCCCAAGCCCCTCTCCAGACTCCTTGTAGGTAAAACTACTCAGAGAGATGAAACACTACTGAGCTGTGTAACCAAAACCCAAATAATATCACCAAAAGGTGCCCGTTTCAGGTGCTGTTTGTAAAAGCAGTTTCCCTTGAGCTGTGGATCTCAGCTGCTTTCCCCTCTCCATTATGTACTGTGTGAGCCTCTTGCGGTGAAAGAAATTCCTTCCTCAGAACGACACTCCTGCGATTGGAAGCACCAGGAATCTGATTGAGGGTTTTGTCACATGCTTCTTGGTATAGATAGATAGATATAAACACGTGAGCATGTAGAGTAATGTATGTGCTGGCATGTAAGCCAACCGCTAACTGATGAGGGTCAGGAAGAAACTTCTCTCCTGGGCATGTTAATTCGTAACAGGCTACTATACAGTTTCTCCTACTTTTATCTCCAGCATCTGATACCAGCCAGTGCTGGAGACAGGATACTGGTTGAACCACTGGTCTCAACTTGTCTGGCTTTTTCTCTGTTTGATATTTTAATTTCATTTATCACAGTCTGTAGAATGATGGAAAGTGAAAGCATGCATTGCATTTCTATGAATAAAGACTCAGAAATAAAGAACATGCCTCTACCACACACCTTGTGAGATCACGTTTTACTTCTCCCCCCTTCAGCTTTAAGCTTCTGTGCTTTATGCACTGAGAGGTCATGGAAAGATTGATAAGGTGCAGAGCAGCCTTTTGACTTTAAAAGATGCCAAATCACAGGCAAACCCACCAGGCTGTAAATACATTCAGTGGAAGCTTCTTAGCATGAACTGTGGATGGATAAGGCAAACAAAGCCCTGCTCATAGACGTACATACACACATCTCTTAACCCGCATCCTCCCCACCTGATGGAGGATCTTTGATACATGGACCAGACAGGAGTGGATGAAGGCATAGGAGCGATACACAAAACGTGCAGCCTCCTTCCATAACTATCATTTCAGCGGGGTCTGACTGCTTTTAGCAGATGTAGTTCTTGCATCCTCCTTGCCTAGGAGGGAAACATGGAACGGTTTGGGTTGGAAGGGACCTTAAAGACCATTTGGTTCCAACCCCCTCAGCTGGAAGTTGCTCTCCCTGTTCCCATCTTTTCCACAAAATTGTAACAACAAAGAGAAAACCCAAACCACTTTGCATTGGACCCCTGCTTCCTGATTATAGCCGCATCTTGGTTATTTTCTCTTGGAAAGCAGCACTATTGTTCTGGGTCAGGATTAGTTTATGTCAAAGGGAATATAAAAAGAGATTATTATACGATTTATTTTTCCAGCTTTGCCTACCACCGTTCATTAGGGCAGCTGGCATTTCCTTCCCCTTTATCATGTATCATTTAGCACATATTTTGTGTGAAGTTGAGTTTTAGATGTGGGATATAACATCTATCAGAGAATCAGGGAATGGGTTGGGTTGAAGGGACCTTAAAGATCACCCAGCTCCAACCCCTGCCACAGGCAGGGACCCCTTCCACTAGAGCAGCTTGCTCCAAGCCCCTGTGTCCAACCTGGTCTTGAGCACTGCCAGGGATGGGGCAGCCACAGCTTCTCTGGGCACCCTGTGCCAGCGCCTCAGCACCCTCATAGTAAAGAATTTCTTCCCATATCTAATCTAAATCCTTTGTTTATCCCCTGTTCCTTACATGCTGTGCAGGAGGCCTGCCTTCAGCTGCCTGCCTACCCTGCAGCATTATGGTGACACACTTACATTCCCATCAGGAAACAACAGGTACCTTTCAGGGTATCCGAAGTGCTTGTGTGGGAAGAGAGAATTGCTTGTAAGCTCTATTTAGCTCTTAAATCTTCTCTGGTTTTGAGCTGAGAACCTGCAAACACAAAGAGTGGGTGTCTGTGGTGGGCCTCGGAGGCCCGTTTAGGGAAGCATCTGACAACAAATTCGCTTCCAAGCAGACGAGAGGAAGCATGACAGAAGTGAAACAAGGATGAAGCAAGGAGCAGCTACAGTTTATGTCTGGGCTGAAAAGCATGGGGTGGTGGATCAGTGGTTTCCTGGGGCATAATGTCATAACACAGGAGCTCCTGGAGTTTAAAGCTTTTCTTGGGGTCACTCCCTGTGGTTGAGGAGGTGATGGGGAATCAGATAATCAGGCAAAACCGATGGGATGGACACTTCCCTTTCAAGCTCACCTTGCTCAAGTCGGACTTTCTGCAGCTGTGCCGTTGCCACCTGTCCGTTGATGCTGCTCCATAGCACAGAGTCACCCGGCACTGTCAGAAATGCCCATAAGGTCCCTACCCAGGGGTGAGCTCCCGGTGTCTCTGTGCCCGCATCCCCGGTCCCCCCCTCGCCGCAGGCACCCCCCGCGGGCTCCGGCCGCCGGCAGCAGCCGCCGCCGCAGCTCCACCGGGCGCGCACTTGGGCGCCACCTGGCGGCGTCCCTTGGAGCTGCCGACCCTCTGGGCCTGGGGGGGGCTGCCCGAGGGCACCGCGCAACGGGAAAGCGCCGTGACCGCAGGAGCTCCGTGACCGCAGCCCCGGCTCCGTTCCTCTGTCCCCGCTGTTCCTCGCACTCCTTCAAGGGTCAGCTTTGCCGCATTCAAATCCCAGCGGTTTGGGAGGCTGCCCCCCGCCCCCGCCCCGATGGATTCCCAGCATGTCCTACGCGGCACGTCAAACAGCAGTGTTATAACCACAGCATGAACCCAGAACCCACTACCAGCACATTCCCCGTGTTGCCTGACCATCCCCGCAAACATGGCACCAGAGGTTAGGGCTTCCTATAGCTGCCTCCTCCGGTTCAGCAGAGTAAATCAAACTCGGAACGATTTGGATTTGACATGCGCTGCTCCACCTGATTTATTCTATATCATTCCTCTTTATATATAGAAGCAAAAGCCGAGAGGTTGCTTGATTTGCCAGCTTAGGTATATATAGCCAGTCAAAACTGGCCACGCTCCACTAGGAACTTTTCAAATAGGGCAATGATCTATTTGTGGCCAAAGATAGTTACTTCAAGAGGTATCAGTGACAAGAAGCAAAAAGCTGCTTGTTTGTTTGGACCAGGGAACATGTGTGCGTGTGCAAAGGCAACCCTAATGTTTCTTATGTAAAACTACACACAGAAGGGCTCCAAAATAGAAATGCCTTAATAATTATCTCATATTCAGTGCCATGTCCACTTCTGAATGCACATTTTCCATTGAGCAGCTTCGTGCGTTCTCTCACGCACGGGAGTAGCTCCAATGAAACATCTGCTGAACCATCTATATCATCAGCCCTCCTCACATCCTTTCCCCAGGCTCCCCTTCCCAGCGGCGTGTGTAGGAAGCTCCACAACTGTCAGGCAGCTGCTCTGCAGCGACTACTGGGCATTGTATTTGTTCCTCGTGTTTCCCCATCTTTGATCATAGGGTGTCTCTCGGACTTGCCTGACAGGGGAGGGACTATTCTGGGGCTGGTGTTCATGCGGCACCATGCCCGCTTGGTCCAGGTGCCAAAATGAGCTGCTGGCCTCTGTGTGGCTGTAGCAGTAGAGAGGAGACTGTCCCATAGCCTCCCCAGCATCACTGCTTGGTGCTGCGGCCCTATTGGGTGTCACTAGCACTAATTTTGACTGATAAAAGCTTCACTGTGGTAGCCATGCAGTAAAAGGGGCATTAAGGATAGGAATTACACATCAATGGGTAAATCTCTTTTCAGATGTCCAAGTGGAAATCAAACAAGACCCTGGTGAGTACCCAAGGGGAAACCTTCCTCACCCTCCCAGATCAAGGGGCCTTACTCATGCGGAGTAAATATGACCCAATTTCAGTGGGAGGGTTTCCAGAGTGACCTGAAGTAGGATGTGAGTTGGGAAACAGGATTTGGTGAGTACTGTACTGCAGTTGTTGGGGTTACTCCCTGTATATGCTGATAAGAACCTCTTCTCTTCAGAAGTTGCTTTTTCCATAGGCAAAAACTCCACCTGTCTTCATTTCATTTGGAAGGGTACAGGAGGATGCTGCGCCTGAGCTGGCAACCACCCTGTTAGAGGACCTGTAATGGGTCTCTGGGTCTTCTTTCTCTTTCCTTCCCTTTTATCCTTCTTTTGGAAGGAATAAAGAAAGGTAAAACCATAAAACCTAGGGCGCAGTCACACAAAACATCAACCCCACACACTTCACACACCACCAGCCATTTCCCAGCACCCTCCAGCAAACCTATGGCTGATACGGCAAACCAAGCCCCACAGACCTCCTTTGGGCCGTTCTGTGCCACCGAAGCAGAAGGATAACTTGGCAAACCTTACCCTGGCGTTAGCAATCCCCAGGGAGCAGGGTGCAAACCTCTAGCAGGGAAATCACAGCAGAGCGGAAGCCTCCTATGTGTGCGTCTGCACGTGTGGAGGTGGGACTGAAACAGCTCCCATCACTTTCCTTACATTAGCCTTAATAGAAGGGGATGGATGGTGCCTGCCCATTCCATCTCACGTTTCATCCCTCTGAAATATGTGCGCTTTCACCGGCTGTATACTCAGCGCAGGGTAATTACTACAGTGCTAATTTTACCTGAGATGATGAAAGCGCTGGAACAGCCGAACCATATAAAGGGAGGAGATCCATCCCGCTGATGCAGTGTTCTGGGTCCTTTTTTGAGCGAAGGAAGTCATGCCTTTGGCTTGTAGATTTGCTCCTGAGGGAGGCTTCTCCTTACCAGACTTCGCCGAAACACAACTGGAGGCTGGGGGAGAATGAGGTCAAGGATGTTTGTGCGCTGGAAAATCAAAGCACTGAGCACTGAAGTGTTGCCTTCTAGTAAATTACCTTACAGAGATGAAATTACTCAAACAAACAGATCTGCTTCTTCTCTTTCCTCTCCTGTGAGAGAAGCCACTTCCAGACACCAAAAGCACAAAGATGCTTGGAAGTCTTCTGTTTCTTTCTGGATCTTCCAGAAAGATTCAAAGTCAATTGGCATTTCTAATGAAGATTCAGAACAGACACTCTTATCCAAACCAGTTCAGCTTGAAACCATTACAGTGAAGTATGGTCAGAGGAAAAGCAATTTGCCAGAGCTCCGAGAGTGTGAATAATGCAAAGCAAACAGCTCTCCGCAGCGCTCAGTTGTGCTTTCAAGTGTGCTCACCTTAACTGTGCCCCCATCCTGGCTTCATCCAGAGGTGCTGGGGACCAGTGTCACAGATTGGGGTTAAGGGAAGAGGAGCTGTTGGTGATTTCTGACTTGTGTAGACCTGGAGGATTGCTTTTATTCTAACAAAAGACCCAGAAGAGATCGGCGTTGCTGGCACTATCCTGGAGTCACCCATTGGGAAGGATGAACAAAGCCATCCCGTTGTGCTCTGCTCTGGTCTGTTCTGCAAAGGGGTTTTTAGGTCACCTTTGCTGTCAGAGAGCGCAAGCACCTTCCAGTCCTGGAGCAAGCAACACGCCGAGCCTCTGTTCATTCTCTGTCTCTCTCTTGCTCTCACTCTTTACTCTGCCACGTGTGATCTCTGGCCCTTGTCAAACCCCGATAGTCAGAACATGGGTGCTGCGTGTTCCCTCACCGCCAGCCTCAGCAGGCATTTGGCACCCAGGTTAAGTGTGTACTTGAAGTGGAGTATGTCCCAGAGCCCTGCTCTGGTTGCTGGTCTGAGGCCTCTGAGGAGGAACACGGACTTCTTATAACCAGTCCTCTTCATGAGCTATGGACCAGTGGGAAATCACTTCACAGCAACCACAAAGTGCAGAGAGCAGTGACTGTGGCCAGGGGAGGGACTGCCCTCTCCCAGGCAACCTGCTCCCTGCAGCACCCGAGTGCCCCTTCCACCCCAAACCATTCCGTGATCCTATGATTTTATGACTTTCCATGCTGGTTTTTCAATACTTGATGGGAAATGGCCCAATGGTTTCCCCCCCGGTCTCTGTCACAAGGTTGCTTAATAGGGCTTGGGCATTCACTCAAATATTATCAGAGGATCAAAGCCAACTTTGAAGTATTAGGGAGATTACAAAGAAACTTGCAGCTTCCGAGGTGCAATGTTCCTTAATGCAAAACAGGGAAAAGCCTCCTTCTGCAGCCATCCTTTCCCTCTATCTGTGCATCGTGATTAGGCCAAAACAGAGCTCAAGACATGCAGTTTGGCCTGTACTTCAATGCAGGATGCCCAGGGTTGGGTGAGGAATCCATCTTCCCCTGTGCATCTGCATGAACGAAAGCCAGGATTTAGCCTGGAGGCACCAAGTGGCATCAGAGAAGCAAATAAGGAGCCCAAGATCGTGATAGCAGAAGAAAGGAAGCTGTGGCATTTACTTGCTGAAGATTATTTCCTCTCTGATGACAGCTTTTTCAAGTGGCAGAGGTGTTTCAGTGGGTGGGCCTTGGAGGGCTGGTCCAAATAATCAGTCCTAAACAATCTCAGGAAGTTAAACCAACAGTTTGAGCTCGGTTTGCCTTTACTCATCTGGTTGGTTTTAGTTCTGAGGGTAACACAGAAAGGTGACAGCTCATGGCATTAGTCTGCCTCTGTCCCAGCCCACAGGAGTTACGAGCAGGGCTGGATGCCCTTTGTGCCAACCATCTCCTCCTCCCATTGCCCGGGCACCGTGTCTCTTGGCCCAGCTCTATGTGCTCAGCTTGGCTTCCTGGGAGGGGAAGTGCAGGCGCGGGGGAGAAGTGATGCAGTGATGGTGGTGAAAGGTCTCAAGGCTCTTCCAGTCATGGTGGGGCTGCCCAGCACCAGCTCCATCAGCTCAGAGACCCTCTTTGGTGCACTGCAGACCTGGTGTAGGAATCACTGTGCTCAATCACTGTTGGCAGTGCAACGATCTCCCAGCGTCGTATCAGGTCCACCAAGACAGGAGGTTACTGTTGATGTAAATAGGCACAGTACTGGCTCCTCAGGAAACTGAAGGCTGTTTTCTACCACAGTGTTTTTCCTTCCACAGTGGCCAATGATTTAACTCTGTTTTTAGCAAAGTTTGTTTGCTTTCCAAGAGAGAAAATAAACTCTGATATTGTCACTTCTGCTGTGGCCATGGATTCCAGGCAAATTCTTAGGTTTTGTTGCAAACTAATGGAAAACATTGAGGACATTTGCATCTAAGCAAATATACTAAAATAAGGAGTGTGAGAAAGTAAGGGCAGCAGTAGTCTCTGTGGTGTTAACACAAATCAGATGCTTCTGAGTTTATTAATGCAGTTTCCACTGGAGTGGGTGCACTTGTAGGTAATAAGGTACAGTGATAATAAAGGATCATCAGCAGAAAAGCAATACGCACATTGCAAAGCAGGAAAACCACGTAAGGTTTTAACAGAGGTTCTCTGAGTCACTTCTGGGTATAGTGTCATGCTGCTGGAAGCAGGTTTCATTGTGTAGCCACACAGTTCACATCATCTTTCCCTCAGGAGCTACCAAATGTCAGCTGAGAAGGTGAAGCTGCCCAGCTTGAATCACTTTGGTGTAACACAAACGGGTCAGGGGGAGAGCTGCAGCAAAGGCTTGTGCTTTGCATTGATTTTGCTTAGAAAAGATGGACGGTTTCTAGCTCTTTCTATTGCAGCTGACTTTTTATTCCTCCTCGCCATTCCCTTTCCCATTGGAAATTGTCCATGTTTCCACCTACAGTGCCACACACACCAAAGCACCCTCACACCTTGGCTAACAACCATTTAGAAGGATAAATCATCAAACCCCCCCAAGGAAGGAGGCTGGGGTTTTGTTCCTGCCCACATAGGAGCACCCAACCACTGCAGATGGGAGTCTGAAAGGTGGCTGAGCACCACAGGGGCTTTTGAGCAAGTCAGTGATTTGACTTGTGACAGGCTATGGTAGGGTGCCCTACCATAACCTGCTCCCTTGAGAGCCTTCCTGCTGACACACAGTATTTACCCAACCAGAAGTTTGCAAGCCAGACAAATACAAAGATACTCTTACCCTGCTCTGTTCAGCTGAGCGTGAGCCTATCCTGGGTTTGGAAGGCTGGTAACACTGCCAACTGAAGCTGTGAGGAAGAGAATGAAAGTGTAGTCACACCGTTTTGTATGTGTAAGCTGCTGGCTCTTAACCCTTTTCCTTCCAGGAATTGTCAAGTTCCCCATGTCAGCTCCATAGGCATGTTCTCACCACCCTGGCAAGTTTTATTAACCATTAACTCCCTTTCCCTTGAGATATCCAAAGCATGGGAACCAGGGAAGATCATTAGATAACTTTGAGATTAATAGGAAAACATTAGCCTTATTAATATGTAATTGCTTGGCCGCTTTATCACTTACACTAATGTCCTTCTCATTCACCTGAACATAAGTTCCCCACTGCTGCCTTTGAGGACAAACTGCCACAGCTGACTGATGGCCTGTGACCCCACAGAGGTAAGGATGTGCTGAGAGCTGAGATCACTCCTTACCAACAGATATTGACTGTATCTTGTTGGGTGTGAAGTTTAGCTGGAAATTAATGACCCTTTAAATGGGGCATCTTAATGTATTGAGAATGGAGCCACGTGGAATACAGGGTTGGGAATCAAGTTTTCTTTGGCAGAGCTTCTTGGGTTGCTGTTGAATTGCAGCTTATACACCATCGCTCTTCGCTATGGCTTATTGTTTGTAATTCATTATTTCAAGGTTTCTTCACCTTGCTTCCCACATCCACCATCTGCAGGAACAAAGACTGATAGTATATACTTTTCTTCACCCCAAATACAGTCACTGGCTGCTGATTTGACTTTAGAATGAGGCTATATAAGCCTGAAATCTGAAACAAAGATTTTGGACACAAAGTACCTGGGAAAGAAAGAGAGAAAAAAACCCACCCATGATTTGTGTGTGAGTTCCGCTCTTCTCAGATACAGAAAGCAATTTCCTATGTCATATTTCACCCCTTCTATCAACAAACACCTTATTATCCACTGTAACTGTGTCACTGGCTGCACATCTGTGTATCCTATTTGCTTGCAACGTACAAAACAGATTTATTTGCTCTCTCACATCTTATCAAACCTGTAACCACCTCTCTGTGGGATTTTCATTGGATTTACCCATTCCTCTATTACCAATGTGGCTTCGGTTCTCCTTGGAGATCCCAGCATGAGGCCTATAAAGACCCAGTTAATGTCCAGACCCCAGGGATTTAGTGTGAATGGGGAAACCACCTTTTCCTGATGAATTTTTTCCAGTTGACTTAATGGCTGGAGAAGAAAGGCTGACTTATGCCAGTTTACATGCATGGAAATGGTGAGGCCAAAGTCAAAAGCCCAATGTGTTATTTATGGTGTTTCTTCTCATCTTGTGGAAACCGACTGCTTTGATTCCACCAGCCCGTGTTTTCTTTGCAGTACAATACAATTAAGCTATTTTCAGCTGGCAATAAAATCCTTGAGAACCAAAGCAGATTTGGCCACTTTAAGAGATGAAGACTAATGCAATCTGATAATTAGGTCATTTCACCGCCAAGACTGGAAAAGCAATTCAATAACAGCTCCCATGCTGTAAGACAGGGGCTAAAGCCTCTGGTCCCAGCTGGCAAGGGCTGTGCCTGCAGTACAGCTCTCAAATGGGCTTCCATAAGTATCTGCAGATCCCGGCATGGCTGCGGGAGAGGGTGGCCATGGTGAGGATTGGGAAATGGAAAATAGAATCATAGAATAGTCAGGATTGGAAAGGACCTTAAGATCATCCAGTTCCAACCCCCTGCCATGGGCAGGGACACCTCACACTAAACCATGTCCCCCAAGGCTCTCTCCAACCTGGCCTTGAATACAGCCAGGGATGGAGCATTCACAACTTCCCTGGGAAACCCATTCCAGTGCCTCAGCACCCTCACAGTAAAGAACTTCTTCCTTATATCCAATCTAAACTTCCCCTGTTTAAGTTTCAACCTGTTAACCCTTGTCCTATCACTGCAGTCCCTAATGAAGAGTCCCTCCCCAGCATCCCTATAGGCCCCATAAGGGAGATAAAGTCTCTGGTAGAGCCTGACTGAAATTTGTCCAAGGAAAGCATCATGCTTTGAGGCCAGCTCCTTTTCTTACCTCCTATGCTGGTGTGAAAGATGGAGGCTTTGCCTTCCCAAAGCCCTGCTTACCCATTGATGCCGTTTCTACAGCAGGCAGTGGATCTTGTCTTGAAAACTCCTCAGCCTGTGACCATTTCACATGGCACTTCTAGTGTTTCAGCCAGGAGGCTCAGTAGCGAGGCAGTGAGAGACTTGCGGAGCTCGACTACATCAAATTGGAAAACCAGTCACTGGGAGAAGGAAAACAAGCCCTCAGTGGCTCTTGAGGGTTAAGTTTTCAGCTGTCTCGCACCCTCTTTGTCCTGGATTGTTGCAACAGGAAAGGGTTTTTTAGAACCTTCTCTTGTAACTTCAACTTCCCTGTTTGGGGGGTTTGGAAGAACTTCTCTTGCTGAAGTCCCTGCAGACGAGAGGCGGCTTTGTTGCAGTTCTCATGCTCTGGGTAATAGATTAGAATCGATATTTCATTCGATGAAGAGCTTTCCGGGCAGAGCTGCACCGAGTTTGAGCAAGCTGTAAAACAGTCGTGATGCTTGTGCTCTACCCTGCCTCGCTGTGAAATGCTACATGGCTTGACCCCCGGGTCTGTGCTGCTCGAAGTCTTACTCATATCGGCAGGTCTGGGATCTTTGGGTCTAGTAGGTCCGTGGTCTTTAGCAGTTGGTTTGCATGAGTAAAGGCTGAGTAAGAGTACAAGGTCGGGCTGTAATCTGTACCACCTTGTGGATGTTGTGTTGAACCCACTCCCCAGCAAACTGTGTGTATTGTCAGCGCACCACCTCTTAGCAATAGCAGACCACAGCTTTATTTCACTTACATACAGATGAGCTTCTCCAAGGGGGTCAAACTGCTGCTATTTTAGCAGTTCATAGGAAGCACAGATACACTCAGAAGAACAAGGGATTTTTTCTCTGACCCAGGTACATGAGCTGTGTAGCACTTGTGACTACAGCTTTCAAATCCTCTGGATTTAATGATCTTCATCAAACTGAATAAAGTAATTGCATTCATTCCTTCTTATAGACTTTTCCCCAGCTTTGTCATTCATAAGGAACTTACCTGTGTTACAGGGCTCTTCTTGCACTTTAAACCAAACAGAATCAATGCAGAGTAATTCATAAACAATGAAATTGCCCAACATTGAGCCAGATTGCTCAATACAAACAGGCACTTGTCTTTTCTTCCGCTCTCCCGATCCTGCACTCGTAACACTGGGGACTTCTAAAACCAGCTGCATTTGGCCCTTGTATTTGTTGCTGCAACCCTGCAGCGCTTCCTCATTCGGAGTACAGGGAACTCGGTGAATTCTGCCAGTGACAGTCATGGCAGTTGGTGGGGATTGTTCATCAGCAATATGAGGAGAGCATTAAAGCCTGTTCTTTGGGAGAAAGCACCAGGCAAAACGTAATCACTGAGTATTTAAAGACAGAAAATGTCGGAGTTGTAAACTCATGAAGCTAAGGAGAAGGGGGACAGTTTAAGTAACTGCAAGTGATTTGAGGCACTGGCATTGCTGTGGAGAGTAGGGAATCATATTTAGAGCTTGTTCTGGACATGATAAGGAGCTCCCCTTACCTCAGCTCCACTAAGGAGCCTGCCCAACCCACTTGGACCAGTGCATCCCCCAGCAGCTCAGGGCAAAAGACCTGATTGCTGATGAACACTCTCATCTCCCAGCAGCATCCCTGCTTTCTGGGTGTCGCAGAGGCTCCCTGGCTGCAACTTCAGGTGCTCACACCCATTGCCAAAGCCTTGTGTGGTCTGCAGCCCTTACACTCAGCATCACCTTGGCTCTGGGTCCCCCAGCCCAACACAGGGCTCCTGATGCATTTCATCTGTTAGCACTTGGGAACACGGAGGGCAGTGGGAGAGCGCTGCGGCAGCGGACACCTGCCTCGGAAACCAACACCCCTGCACTGTCCATCAGAGCCCGGGCTTGGCAAACTTCAGAGCGTGCTTACAAGGCCGGTTTTGTTCCTGCGGGGCTCCCAGCCAGGCATTTCATCCGTGTTTGCTTTGTCTCAGGCCACGTCCAGCGCAGGGCGGACGAGCTGTTAAAAACCACTGCGATTTCTGCAGATTTCAGCAATGGCCAGGAGCCTGCTGATGGAGCTGCTACAGGTGGAACAAAGGACTGGATCCGACGTACTGCAGCCAGGCAGGCTTCTCTCGCTGACAGCCTCGCTCCAAAAGGTCTTAGCGCAGGGATCAAAGCTCTTGCTTTGGAAGGGGCGCTGGGTTTCGGTTCAAGAGAAAGATGTGAAGTTTAGGAGCTGTGCTGCAGAGCGCTTGGCTTGCTTTAGTGCATGTTAGGGTCAGGCGTTTGTGCTGAGGTGCCGCATCTTAGCACTTCACTGAGATGAAGGAACAAAAGGAGCAAAACTATTATCTCTCGGGTATTTTCCCTTACTACACGGGGCCTCGGACATGAGCCTCGTACGCAGCTGGTGTGAGCAGATACACTGCAACCACACGGGACCTTCACAACTTCCCACTGGAGTCCTGCACAAGCCTTTATAGGGCGGGGGGGGGAATACCCATGGCAGGTGCCTGGTGCCCGCGGGCCCTGTTCTGCCATCTTTGGGGCTGCGAAATCCCCCGGGGACCCCCACCGGGACCCTGCAACCCGGGGTCCCCCCAGGTTCGTGGAGCCGCATCCCCCGGAGCCCTCTTTTACGGGGTCCGTTCACTCTTGGGACCCGCTGCTCCCGGCACCCGCCGCTTCGGGGTCCCTCCCCTTCGGGACCTGCAGCCCCCGGGACCCGGCGCTCCGGGCTCCCAGCGCTCCCGGACCCCTCTGCTCCAGTACCCTCCGCTCTCGGATCCCTCCCCTCCGGGGTCCCCGCACCCCGTGACCCGCTGCGCCGGGGACCCTGCTCCCCACGGTCCCTCCTTCCCTCCCCATCGGGGCTCCCCGCACCCGGCCCCGCCGCGCCCCCCGCCGCTTTGCCCCGGCGCGGCTCGGCTCGGCCCGGCCTCCCGCCTGCCATTGGCGCGGGGCAGCGCGGGGGGGCGGAGACGGCGGGGCCGCTATTAAACATCACATGGCAGCCCGCAAAACCGGGCAGCGGCTTGCGCGGTGGCTCAGTTGCGAGCGGTGCGGCCGGCGGGCACCGGGGCCGGGCTTGCGTGTCCCCCCCCAATCCCCACTCCAACCCGCTGCTGGATCTTTACAGCACGTTAACGGCCCGCGCCTCCCTTACGGCCACCGGCAGGTAAGGAGCGCCTCGGGATGCCCCTTGCTCCTGGGAATGCTGGGGATGCGCCGGGAGCTGCCTCGGGGCGCGCTCCGTGCCGCGCAGTTCCCGGGATAAAGCTTTCCTTGCCCGTGGTTGTGTTGCACGCTTGGGTATGGCCGCTCGGAGGGGGGAACTCCTGCGTTCCTCATGCACCGTCCACCAGCTATTCTCAGCGCCTAAAATAATTAGATAGGTATGCCGCGAGCACTCGAGCATCTGCTTGCAGCATCTGTTTGTGTTCATAACTTTCCATGCACCAGCTGCTTCCCACTCCACCTCCCCCCTCCTCTCCCGAGATATTTTATCCTGGGGAAGGGCTGGAAGTTCGCATGACAGCAGGAGCAACCCCGCTCCATCCCTTCCCATTCTTCTCGCCTGTTGTTTCCTGTACAAGAGAGAGGTCAGGAGTCTCAAGCTTTGGAGAGGAGATGCGTGTTTTTGAAAGGAGTGTCCGAAATGTTTGAGAGGGTTGGGAAATGAACCTGTAACTTCATTCATTGGCGTTATGGAAACGGGGAGGGGGAGTTTCTTTATTTTTAATCCTGCTGACAAATCAAGATAGGAAGAAATTAAAGCCCCTGCAGCTGGGGAGCCGGTGAGGAGGCTCTAGGTATTGTTTCCACTTTGCTCATGACAGTGAAAGGCAAAAATACTGGTAAAGAATGGCAGATTTATTCGCTGGGGTTCAGTGACTGCTGTGTCATCTTCCGGGGACGGGACAACGGGGATCCCCCGGTGCTTGTGTCGGGACCTCGGTGCGTGTTCGGGACCCCTCGGTGCTTGTGCCGGTGCATGTGCGGGCTCCGCGGCTGAGCCGGTGCCGCCCGGTGCTTGTGCCGGGACCTCGGTGCGTGCGCGGGGTCCGGGACTGAGCCGTCCCTCATCCCGGTGCGTGTGCGGGATCCCCTGGGTGCGTGTGGCCGGGGCTGAGCGGGTCCCTGTGCTCGGTCGACCCCGGCTGCTGCCGCCTCCCCGCGCCGCCGGCAGCCGCACTTGTTCCGTGTTCCAGCCTTACCTTGACACTTGTTTGCTTTGCACCCTGCAGCCGGTGCATCGCGCACCCCCCCTGGTGCCGGCTGCCGCCTCGGAGCTGTTGTCACCAGCTACAAACACCCCCGGCGGCAGATGCAAGCGCGCTCGCCCGTTCCTCTCCCCTATTCCCTCGCACCCGTTTCCCTTCATTATCTGTTTGAGGGGGCTTTGATTTATTCCCCCCCAGATCCTTCTCCTGAAGGTATCTCATCACGTTGTGTAACTTGAATCCTGCACGAACCGGCGGAGAAGCCCTTGGGAATGACTTTTAAGCAATGTGGGGGTCTGGAGAAGCGTTTCAGGGAGCGGGGAATGTGGGAACGGGCTTTGCTGGGGCGAGGAGTTCCTTTGTTTCTTTGCAGAGGGAAAGGCTCTGGGCCAAGGTAGTGCTGGTGCTCCCGTAGCAACATGTGCCCAGTCGCTCCGCAGGGCTGAGAGCCGGCAGCCTGGGAATAGCTGCTCCAAACCCTCATTAGTGCTCCTCTTTCTACCCCCGCGGTTCGTTTTGCACTTTGGAGGTTTTGTTCTTTATTAAACCTTCTGCACAAATCCCTTCAAGCTGTTTTCTGCGGAGTTCTGATGTGGGATGTGAACGTCTTTCCTGGGGGCAGGTCCTGAGGGGGATGCTTCCTAAGGGGAAAGTGAGGGTTCAGGCTCCTCCTCATCACTTGCACCAGTGCTGGTTCAGAAATGCTGTAGATGCAGCATGGTCCCTTTTCTCTTTGCTCCCCTGAGCATCCCCTTGCAGTAGAGCAAGCCCAGGGCTCTCTCATCCCATCCTGGTAATGCTGCGTCAGTGCCTGTGCTCGTAATTCCAAGCTCTAGTCTTGTATCCTCTTCCAGGAGGAAAGGTAGCCTGGATTAATAACAATAACAACACACCTCGTGATGATTGAACTTACAGCTGCGTGTGTGCATGTCTGGCTGCAGTGCTTAGGGACAAATTGCGCCAACATTTGGGTTGGTTGGTGGGTATGGTGTTGGCTTCTTTCTGGTGAGGATGCAGGGCTGATCCTCCACTAACTTGGTGTCTTGGGTGCAAC